CACTCCAAAAATTCAACCCCAGTAAAAGCTCCAGCACACACATCAGATGCCCCCCCCCCCCGCCACCGTAATTTTTTAACTCCAGCCCCCACATTTCTTATCGCCCCCTTAATTTTGGCCGCACCATCTCCCCCTCCCCTCTTTTAATTTGGGGCCCCAACACCCCTTGCAGACGTAAGCATGGTGCGGTCACATTTTGACCGTGGGCAGACGCACTGTATATTGACGCTGTATTCAAATTTCTTTTCACGCCGTTCTCATCAAACATGGGTAGATTTCTGACGCCGAGGTGAGCTACTCCGAGATCTTGAGCCTGGTTCTCTTCCCCTCCCATTTAACCAATAAATGTTAAAGTAACATGTGGGGGGAAAAAAAAGAAACCTTTTTTTTTTTAATGAATCCTCCACACCTTAGCAAATACAAATGTTAAAAGGTGGGCCGCGCGCACTGTCTGGAAGCCATATTTAAACCAAGGCTCACTGGCTGTTGTGTGTCACTCTCTTACTGGAGTTAAGGGCTACAACCTACCAAGATTGAACTTTAGTTAACAAAGAAGTAAGTAAGTAACTGTAGGAAATTTTTGAACTTTGTTTTAAGAGTGTCATATGGAAATAATAAAGATATCCTGCAGAATAACCTTAGGACAGACAATATTTTATAATTATTTTATTTTTAAAATTTTAAATTTTATTGAATGCTTTTATAGCGCTTGTATCCATGCTATTTTAGCATGCTGATAGCGCTCTGATGTCGTGAAATCTATTTAAAGATTTAAATGTTTCTTAAATGATTTTTTAAAATAATTTTTAATTTCCCTCAAAGATTGAGGCAAATTGTGCCATAATTTTGGCGCTATAACTTCAAAAGAGCGCACTGCGCATGACTTTTATCTGTGTCCATCCACACTGGCAACTCTCAGTAAGGACCGTGTTCAAGACCGCAGGTTCTTTAAGGATACGTGTTTAGAAATCAGTTCTTTAAGATATTCAGGTGCAGAGCCTTCTATACAGCTGCACGCCAGGGGCTGGTTTGTGTGAACCGATGCCAGTTTTTTAAATGTTCTTAAATCCAGTCCAAACTGCGCGTCCTATATCTAATTAAAAAAATAAAATATTAAAAGCATACTGAACCCAGGAATGATTCTTTATTGCATCTAGTCCAACCCAGAGGTGGGCAACATACGGCCCGCGGGCCACATGCGGCCCGCTGATACGTTTATTGCGGCGTGCAAGACATTCCGTGAACTTGGTTAATCATTTCGTAAAAGAATTCAAATTATTGTTAATGTTTAAAAGCCTATAAACACTTTAAGAATATGAACAATCATAGTAATTTATTGTCCCTTCTATTTTCGAGCTAAACTCGGAGTGAGCTTTCGAGTATACTCTTTATTCTCTGAAAACTCAAAGTGAGTTCATTAGCGTTGACGTAAACCTGCTAAAACAGTATCACGGTATGAGCTCTGTACTTCAGTGAACGCCAGGGATATCACTCTCCGAGGCCAACAACAGCATTTCATTTAGTACTTTTCAGGATTATTGGGAAACTAGCTAAAGATGTTTGCAGCTTCACACACATCTCATTGAAGAGTTTACACGAGTGTTACTTCATACTATTAGAATGACATTATTTCTATGAACTGGTAACCTATAGCTATCAGATGTTACGACGTTATCAGATGTTAAGATGTTATCAGACGTTATGTTATCTGTTCATTACAATCTCAGTAGAAATATTTTTAAAAAAATATTAGAAATTGGTTAATTTTATTATTTAGAGCACTAGATTCGTATCTTACCTCTGCACATAACGGCTGCTCGCCCCCTGGGTCTAATCCGTTGGATCATATTACTGTCAGGTTGAAAAAAAAATACTTGAGGATTTGCCGTGAAATAAAGTGATTGTTCTAATAGTCAACCTTTAGGAGATCAAAGTGAAATAAATTACACTTGCCTGCTCTTCAAGAGAACGAATAGTGACTTAACTTTTTAAAAACAAATTTCAGCTAAGAACTAATGACACCTTTCCGATTTGAGCGCTAGCAGAGTTAGAGCAAACTTTTCTCTCCGAGGGCCATATGGAACGACATCCAGCTTTGATAAGATTATAACAGTTTTATTAGCAACATAAGTTTGGTTAACTAGAAATTTTCTTGTAGAAAAAAAATCATAACGACAAAGTTAAGAAATCGACATGCCACATAAAAGATTGTGTACGTGTACATCTGTTAAGAGAGGCGTGTTCCTTGAGATGTTCACGCACTTGTACACATGTGACAGGATAACTCAAATAGAAAATCTGTTCACATGTACAAAAGGAGAAATGAAAATTGTATATGTTTGACAAGTTGAAGGTTTCATCTCAGAGGAGGTGATGGTTTCATGAACAAACTTTCCCTTCCAACATGAATGTGACATAAAGTAATTGATAGATAAGTACAGCCGAGTCTACACCTGAGCTTATGGCTTGGTTCAGACTTGTCTCTTCATTTATATCAGACTTATCTTCTCACTTGTCTCAGACTTATCTTCTCACTTGTCTCAGACTTATCTTGTCACTTGTCTCAGACTTATCTTGTCACTTGTCTCAGACTTATCTTGTCACTTGTCTCAGACTTATCTTGTCACTTGTCTCAGATCTATCTTGTCACTTGTCTCAGACTTATCTTCTCACTTGTCTCAGATCTATCTTGTCACTTGTCTCAGACTTATCTTCTAATTTGTCTCCGTCTTGCCTCATTATCCTGGTATCATCCACTTATATTCTCACTTGTCTCATTACACATCTCTCATTATCCTGGTATCATCTACACACCTCCTCACTTGTCTCATCACCTTGATATCACCTACATATATTTACGTGTTAAACCACGTCAACGTCTGAATCGCTTTCTCTCTGTTTTTTTTTCCATCAGATTCATAAAGAAACGAACGAAGCTAAAAAACCATGATTGCCCTAACAACAGCGAGCCTCCTGGTGCTCCTTGCCCTCGCCAACGGACAGTTCACACCCCCAAACTCTGCCCCAGGTAAGATCAACTTTTGAAAGACATCACAGGAAATATTTAAATCGTTTTTATATCAGAGTTTATTGTAAACGTATATAATCATATATTTTGACAGAAGGGGTGTGTCCACAGCCTGCTATAACAGCCACCCCACCCCACCTCTCAATTGTTTAAGCCATAGTCACAGTTATCTGTTTTGTACATGGTATACATAGCTAAAAATTTTCTTTTTTTTTAATTGGAAAAATGGGTAAAAACTTTTTTCCCCCCCCCCCCCCCCAAAAAAAAAAACATGGACAACCTTTCCCAGCAATAATCGTCACGAACTCTAAACACGGTTTTCCAACTTTGGGTACTCGCAGGGGGTGCAATGTGACATTTCAAGGGGTGCAATGTGACATTTCAAGGGGTGCAATGTGACATTTCCAGGGATGCAATGTGACATTTCGGGGGTGCAATGTGACATTTTGGGGGTGCAAGGTGACATTTCAAGGGGTGCAAGGTGACATTTAAGTGTGTATAAGGTGACATTTCGGGGGCGCAAGATGACATTTCAAGGGGTGCAAGGTGACATCTCAGGGGGGCGTGAGAAAAAGGGATTCTAAGAAAGAAGGAGACATTAGCTCTTAAGTTACAAGTGTTTATCTGTTTTGTTTGTAATAAGGCAAACACGTGTGCTCGTTGACATTTAATAAATCAATGATAAGCCCATGATAAGCCCATGATAAGCCCATGATAAGCCCATGATAAGCCCATTGCTTTCTACGTTTAAGTTGCATTGTCGTTTTCTGCAAGGGGTTGATGGACGTAGTGGAAAAATTCGTAATAGGTGCGAGACTATAATAGTCCAATAATTCGTAAGGGGTGCATTGTACAGAAAAGTTTGGGAAACACTGCTCTAAAATGTAACCCCCCCCCCCCGCGCCTGCTACACCCTTGATTTTAAATGGTGCAAGACTTTACTGAGAAATGAACACGTTACACTAAGGTGGCGGTTCTCAACCTGTGGCTCGCGACCCCTTTATGGAGGGGGGTCGAACGACCCTTACACAGAAGTAGAGGCCGACCGAATTTCGGCTTCGGTTTCGGCGCCGAAAGTGGCCATTTTATCACTTTCGGCCAAGTTTCGGTTTCGGCCGAAACTGAAAAGTTAACTTTCGGCTTAATTTCGGTATCGGCCGAAAGAGAAAAGTTAACTTTCGGTTTTTCTTCGGTTTCGGCCGATATTGACTTACACTTTCGGCCATCCGGCCGAAAGTGACTCAGGTTTTCGGTCATTTAATACTCAGCGAAAGCTATATTTAACAACAAAATAAGCGACATTTAAGAACAAATTAGGCGATCTTTGAGAACAAACTAAATGATATTTAACAACAAACTAAACGACATTTATGAACAAACTAAACGATATTTAAAACAAACTAAGCGATCTTTAAGAACTATCTAAGCGATCTTTAATAACAAACTAAACGATCTTAAAGGACAAACTAAACGATTTTTAAGACCGAAATAAATGATCTTTAAGATAAAAAGAAATGATCTTTAATAAGAAACTAAATGATTTATAAGAATAAACTAAGCGATCTTTAACAGAAAACTAAATGTTCTTTAGGAACAAACTAAAAGATCTTTAAGAACAAACTAATCGATCTTAAGTGACAAAATCAATTATCTTTAAGAACAAACTAAGCGATCTTTGTGAAAAACTAAGCGATCTTTAACAACAAACTAAGTGATCTTTAATAACAAACCAGGCCATCTTTATGAACAAACTAACCGATTTTTAAGAAAAAATAAAGCGATCATTAACAAAAACTGGACGATCTTAAACAACAAATTAAGCGATCAATAACAACCAACTAAACAATCTTTAAAAACAAATGAAGCGATATTTTAGAACCACAATTTTTAGAGACCCGGTTTAAAAAAAAAAATACTTTTCATTAATTTTCCCCCCCCCCCCCCCCACCTCAATTTTTGCCAAATTTTCTCCTAACATACTAATTTAAAAAAATTGTAACGCAATTTAAATTACTTTTATATTAAAATGGTAAAATCCAAGGTATTCAATAGATCAAGGGTCTCAAACTCAAATCACCAGGGGGGGGGGCGCAGGAGGTAGTGTCTGAATGAGAGTGGGCCTCATCAAGTAATCCACAAAAAAGCGACTACAACTGTTACAATCTGCTCAACGTTTATAAATAACAATAAAATCATTAAGGGTTCTCAATAACTAGGATTTACTTTCATCCCCCTACTCACTGTTGCATTAAAAAATATATAGAAACATTACCAAAAAAAAAAAACCAACAGAATTAGACTAGTCGGTGAGATTCGACTGACACCGTCGCGGAGAGTCACGCTATAGCTATGAGAATGGGGGAAACGGGCCGGCGCATTTACACTAAACTTTTATGTCATGTAGCGGGCCGCAAAATATCGTCTTGCGGGTCACAAATGGCTCGCGGGCCGCGAGTTTGAGACCCCTATATTAGATGTTTATTTATTAATATTCACAATTATCTCATTTTTATAAAAAGAATGTAAATATTTATACTTTCCCACATCATTTTCGATGTATGCAAAATGTATGTGGGAACGAATTTCAAAATATCTAAATATTTCATTTTCGGTTTCGGCTTCGGTTTCGGCTTCGGTTTCGGCCGAAATTCATTTTTAACTTTCGGCCTTTTTTCGGTTTCGGCAGAAAGTCATTTTTAAACTTTCGGCCTTTTTTCGGTTTCGGCCGAAAGTCATTTTAAACTTTCGGCCTATTTTCGGCTTCGGCCGAAATCAGAAAATCACTTTCGGTCGGCCTCTACACAGAAGTCGCCTAAGACCATCAGAAAACGCATATTTATGAAGTAGTAACGGAAATAATTTTATGCTTCGGGGTCACCACAACACGAGGAACTGTATTAAAGGGTCGCGGCACTATGAACGTTGAGAGCCACTGGTTTAAGGCTTTCGTTGTCATAACCAAAAGAGAAAGCTGCGACCAATGCTATAATAAAAACTGAGACCAATTCAACATGTCTTAGTTGATAGATGTCGGGACGCTTTAAAAACATTCATAATTGTAAAAAAAAATGTCTAGCCCAAGGCACTGAGATGATGCCACCTTGTAAACTGTATTGAACCTATTAATTGCATTGTGTTCTAGCCCAACACACTGAGATGATGCCACCTTGTAAACTGTATTGAACCTATTAATTGCATTGTGTTCTAGCCCAAGGCACTGAGATGATGCCACCTTGTAAACTGTATTGAACCTATTAATTGCATTGTGTTCTAGCCCAACACACTGAGATGATGCCACCTTGTAAACTGTATTGAACCTATTAATTGCATTGTGTTCTAGCCCAAGGCACTGAGATGATGCCACCTTGTAAACTGTATTGAACCTATTAATTGCATTGTGTTCTAGCCCAAGGCACTGAGATGATGCCACCTTGTAAACTGTATTGAACCTATTAATTGCATTGTGTTCTAGCCCAAGGCACTGAGATGATGCCACCTTGTAAACTGTATTGAACCTATTATTTGCATTGTGTTCTAGCCCAACACACTGAGATGATCCTACCTTGTAAACTGTATTGAACCTATTAATTGCATTGTGCTCTAGCCCAACACACTGAGATGATGCTACCTTGTAAACTGTATTGAACCTATTAATTGCATTGTGCTCTAGCCCAACACACTGAGATGATGCTACCTTGTAAACTGTATTGAACCTATTAATTGCATTGTGTTCTAGCCCAACACACTGAGATGATGCCACCTTGTAAACTGTATTGAACCTATTAATTGCATTGTGTTCTAGCCCAACACACTGAGATGATCCTACCTTGTAAACTGTATTGAACCTATTAATTGCATTGTGTTCTTTAGGGTGCAACGATCCCAGCGTCCAGTCCGGCGGCGGCTACTTCGCCCATCAGACGTACTGTCAACTTTATTACCAATGCGACTCCGGACTCAACAGGTACGAGAGGTCCTGTGCACCGGGCACCGTCTTCCACGCCAACATCAGCGTGTGTGTGAGAGCTGAGCAAGCCGTCTGCAACAACTGTAAGTTAATGTGCCACCCTTATGTACACTGCCGACATTGCTACCCAGACGGCTAGACATGGCTTCCCAGATGGCCCAGGATGGCTACACAGGCAGCTGGTCTTGCTACAAAGACAGCTGACATTGTTGTCTATGTGACTGACGTTGCTACCCAGATGACTGACGTTGCTACCCAGATGACTGACGTTGCTACCCAGATGACTGACATTTGTACACGAACCGCCTTTTATTTAAACTTGTTAATAGCCGCCGTCACTATGAAGAGACAGTTCAAAGAAAGAGAGCTGTTAAAATCTTTAGATAGGCCTGGTGATCTGCTCCAGTCCATAAGTCAAAAAGTTCTTCTGTTCCTACATGTAAACTAAACAATAATCATATCAGTAGAAAAAAAAAATGTTGTTAAGTCAAACATTTCATTAAAAAAAAACCTCAATGGGTGACTTCAATCTAAATAAATAAATTGAATAAATAATTATATATGTATATATATATATATATATATATATATATATAACACAACGAAATTTCCGGTAACTCCTGCGAGGCTTCTGGTGCCAAGCTGTATCATCCACATATTATGTTCCCTTGGGCTAATCCAGGTGCGTGGAGAGTGGCGATTGGCTATCTAGGGAACCACTTGAGGATTTTAAAAATTCAATCGATGACCTCAACTTAAATAAATCAATGTAAATAAATAAATATACCTAAAGACAAAAATCACAGGCCTTGTGATTGACGAATGCCAAAGTCAATATCAAAAAAAAAAAATCAATCAATCATACTAGCATATTATAGTGATATAGACATTTTTTAAAAGCATGTATAGCTTAATGTTATTTTTTCAACTCAGCTTAAAAAAAAGGATAAAAAAGTGTCGACTTGATAATTTAATCCAATATTGTTCCCATATTTCCCACCATTCCAGGGCGATGTGACAGTAGTAACATCCTCGCCAGATACCCCGCTCTCTGCTGTGACCAGTACTTGGAGTGTGGAGGGGTGAGCAATTATTTGACTGTCTCTCATTTCATTCCACCAAATCTCTTTTCCCACGGTTAAAGAAATAATGTTTCCTCTCTCTCATTGAAAGTCATCTTCCAGTCCTCTGAGATGTAGAACTATTGCATTGGGGAAATAACTTTCACCCCGAACACATCTTTAAACAAACAATATTGGTAAATATTCGTTACGAATCAAAATAAATTGAAGCTTGTAAGTAAAATCCCAACATCGAACAATCACAAAATCAAACAATCATAAAATCAAACAATCATAAAATCAAACAATCACAAAATCAAACAATCACAAAATCAAACAATCATAAAATCAAACAATTACAACATCAAATAATCCCAACATCAACGTCATTAGGGCCCACCCTCGTTGGTTCTAACCATCATTAGGCCCCACCACAGTAGGTCCACACCATCGTTAGGTCCCATCATCGTGAGGTCCCACCATCGTTAGGTCCCATCATCGTGAGGTCCCACCATCGTTAGGTCCCACCATCATTATGCCCCACCACAGTAGGTCACACCATCATTAGGTCCCACCATCGTTAGGCCTCACCATCGTTAGGTCTCACCATCATTAGGCCCCACCATGGTAGGTCTCACCATCATTAGGCCCCACCATGATATGTCCCACCATCATTAGGCCTCACCATCGTTAGGTCTCACCATCGTTAGGCCTCACCATCGTTAGGTCTCAACATCGTAAGGCCTCACCATCGTTAGGTCTCACCATCGTTAGACCTCACCATCGTTAGGTCCCGCCTTATCCCCTGTTTATCTTCCAACCAACAGTCAGGCTTCTCTCTAAGAAACTGCAGTGCTGGACAAGTGTTTAACATGGCAACTGGACAGTGCGGTTCAGGCACATGCGCTGATCACCTCCAATGCTACAGACCAGGAAACTCAAACGGTAAGCCGCGGGAACGTTGTGTCTACTATCTTAAAACATGTTACTTTTTCGCCAGCAATACAATTATCCATTTAGTATTGTGCGCATAGGTACTGCCACATCCCTTGAAAGAGAAGGGAACGAGAGCTCTTGTTTTTTTGAAGTGTTAAAAGCCAGTCATAGTGACTTGAAGACACTGACCATTTGTTGCCCATTCCAGCCGCTGGCTACACGTGCTTTGACGTACCAAACGCGGACGGCAACCCATGTGTGTACACCACCTTGGACAGGGGGTACAACATCACCAACCGCCCCTGTGGCGCCGGAACCGCCTTCAACAAGGACACCTGCCAGTGCAGCACGATGAACAACAACTGCCCAGCCGCTGCACCATCCTCACTCAACAAGGCCCTCGGTAAGTGGAAAAAAAGGGTGGGGGGATCTCTGTATTCTGCTTAGATTGGACCAATCAAACAGCAGCAATATCTCGGTATGCTGGTTAGATTGAACCAATCAAACAGCAGCGATATCTCGGTATGCTGCTTAAATTGAACCAATCAAACAGCAGGGATAGCTGTGTATTCTGCGTACATAGGACCAATCAAGTAAAAAATGGTGGTAAAAAATTTCAAATATCTTGACTATTTTTAAGAATATCTATAACTCAGGCTTAATTGAAATGGATTGGTGTATATCCTAAGGATTGATGTCTATCTAATGGATTGTTGTATATCCTAAGAATTGATGTCGATCTAATGAATTGGTGTATATCCTAAGGATTGATGTCCATCTAATGGATTGTTGTATATCCTAAGGATTGATGCCTATCTAATGGGTTGTTGTATATCCTAAGGATTGATGTCTATCTAATTGATTGTTGTTAACATTAAGGATTGATGTCTATCTAATGATTGTTGTATATCCTAAGGATTGATGTCTATCTAATGGATTGGTGTATTTCCTAAGGATTGATGCCTATCTAATGGATTGTTGTATACTTACTGTTGTTTATGTTTGACAGATCCCGCGTGCCGACCTTCCTTCAATGTGGACTTCAATGGCTTCCCCATCGTGGCGACTTCCGAGAAGATTGGAAGCCCCAACACCCTACCCTACACATTCCAGACCGTTGGTGTGTCCATTAGCAACGGCCAAGCCATTTTGAGGTTCGTATAATCAATTGCCTTTCAGACAGCAAACCTTTGCCCTTTTGAAAAGTCTCCAGGGTCAAAACATGTCATTACATTGTTGTAATTGAAATGTCATTACATTGTTGTAATTGAAATGTCATTACATTGTTGTAATTGAAATGTCATTACATTGTTGTAATTGAAATGTCATTACATTGTTGTAATTGAAATGTCATTACATTGTTGTAATTGAAATGTCATTAGACCGTTTTAATTAAAATGTCATTAGACTGTTGCAGTTCAAACTAGATGTTTCCACACAAATTATGTACCAGATAGGATATTTGCTTTCACTGAACAATCAATCCAAAATTCAATCAGCTGAGCACCATCTATCATTTCAACCAACTGAACACCATCTATCATTTCAACCGATTGAACACCATCTATCATTTCAACCAATTGAACACCATCTATCATTTCAACCGATTGAATACCATCTATCATTTCAACCAATTGAACACCACCTATCATTTCAACCGATTGAACACCATCTATCATTTCAACCAATTGAACACCACCTATCATTTCAACCAAGCGGACACCATCTATCATTTCAACCAATTGAACACCATCTATCATTTCAACCAATTGAACACCATCTATCATTTCAACCGATTGAATACCATCTATCATTTCAACCAATTGAACACCACCTATCATTTCAACCAAGCGGACACCATCTATCGTTTCAACCCATTGAACACCATCTATTGTTTCAATCAATACAACACCGTCTCTTATTTCAGACCCGACCCAGCCACCGGTGCCAGCCCTTACATCTACAATTACTTCCTCAACAACAACCAGCTCGCCGCACCAGTCGCCTTCAGTGTCGTCTTCAGAGTTGACAGTGGCGCCGTAAGTTGGAAACATCACGTTGACATGTCATCTGTAGATGTTACATGTCATCTGTAGATGTTACATGTCATCTGTAGATGTTACATGTCATCTGTAGATGTTACATGTCATCTGTAAATGTTACATGGAATATGTAGATGCTATATATCATATGTGGATGTTAAATGTCATATGTAGATGTCATATGTCATATGTAGATGTTTTATTTCATATGTAGATGTTATATGTCACATGTAGTAGTTATATGTCATATGTGGATTTATTATATGTCATATGTATATGTTATATGTCATATGTAGATGTTATATGTCATATGTAGATGTTATATGTCATGTGTGGATGTTACATGGAATACGTCGATGTTATATGTCATATGTAGATGTGACATGTAATATGTAGATGTTACATTTGATATATGTAGACGTGCCATGTAATATGTAGATGTTACATCGCATATGTAAATGATTCTTTTTAAGGAACAACGAAAAACTAAGACAAAGATTCTCAGGTCCGAAAACAATACATACAATGCTATCAAATCAAATTTTCATTTATTTTGATCCATAAAAATCATCATTTCTTAAATCATCTTATTTTTCTCATCTTATGTTATTTTATTTTATCTTATCGTTTCGTTTCTTATCTTATCTTAATAGATCATTTGTCTCTTTGTGTTAATTAAAACATTAAGTACATGAGAGTAACTCTTATCACTACTTTTTAACAGTTATTATGCCCCCTGCCTTTTAGTTGCTTTTTTCTTATTATATATTTCCCAAGCTAAGCTCAGCTTATTTATCATGTCAGTAGTTCAGAAATAAAGACTTTTATTTTGTTTTTTTCCCCTCCAGCCCAACACCCAATTTGCCCTGCTGACCAACAACTACAACCCCAACCTGTGCACACCAACCTTGGAGGTTTTGGTCGCCTACAGTAAGAGCGTTTCCTGACTTACTTGGATTAATATTGGCAGCCCTCATCATAAACTTTATAGTTAGCTGCCCCCGTCATAATCTTTATGCTAGCTGCCCCATCGTAAATTTTATATTAACTGTCCCCATCATAAAATTATGTTAGCTGCCCCATCATAAAGTTTTAGGTTAACTTCCCCCATCATAAAATTATGCTAGCTGCCTCATCATAAACATTATATTAGCTGCCCCCATCATAAACTTTAACTTAGCCGCCCCATCATAAAGTTATATATTAGCTGCCCCATCATAAACTTTATATTAGCTGCCCCATCATAAACTTTATGTTATTTGCCCACATCATTACCTTAATTTAAGCTGCTATCATCAACCAGGCTTTACAGATTTTAACTGAATAGTTAGGAATATCTGTTGCGCCACCTGCAATACAGCTTTAATGTATTCAGCAGATTTTGAAAACAAAACAAATGCTTTGGGCTCTCACGTGGGACAACCGCTAAATACCATCTATTTTAAAACCATCTGTTAAATACCATCTGATCAATACCATCTGTTAAATACCATCTGTTAATACCATCTGTTAAATACCATCTGTTAAATACCAATCTGTTAAATATCATCTGTTAAATACCATCTGTTAAATACCGTCTGTTAAATACCATCTGTTAAATACCATCTGTTAAATACCATCTGTTAAATACCATCCCATCTGTTAAATACATCTAATAAATACCATCTGTTCAATAATGTTATTGAATTTGTGACGTAGAACCACGGCATGATCACTTTCGAAACGAGAAGATCATGAACAAATGTTCAATTTGTGTGTGCGTGTATATTGTTGTTGATGTGAAAATCCTCCAATAAGATTTATCATTGCCATCTTTACACTTTCAGGCGGCAACACCTACCAGTTCACCATCAATGCAGTTGGAGCCACCTCCACCAGCGTCAACTCAGAGACTAGAATATCAGGCTCCACCCAAGCCAGCATCAATGTCGGCGTAAGATACTTCTTTTCACACATTATATTTTATGGCTCGAATGAGCCGAGCTGTGGGTAGTGACCCCTTTGTGACTGAGCCGAGCTGTGGCCAGTGACCTCTTTCTATAGACGAAGTCCATCATCCCAATGAGTACATCTAAATGAACCTAGAGGGAGCTTCTTCGACTGGTTTGTCTGTCTGAATGGCGCCAGCTAAATCCCAGACAAAAAGATTATTTCTTAAAATAAGGCAGTTTTTATTTTGACCTGCCCATTGGTCACCCACATCAATACTTTACCCTGCCCATTGGTCACCTATATCAATACTTTAAGCACGGTCCTGCTCATTGGTCGTCCATCTCAATACTTTAAAGGCACATTTAAACACAAAGTAGAAGGCCGTGGCGAAGGCGATCTGAATGACCTCTGAATGGCATCTGAATGGCACCTGAATGGCATCTGAATGGCACCTGAATGTCCATCTGAATGGCATCTGAATGGCATCTAAATGGCATCTGAATGACATCTGAATGGCATCTGAATGGCATCTGAATGTCCATCTGAATATCAATCTGAATGGCATCTGAATGGCATCTAAATGGCATCTGAATGGCATCTGAATGTCCATCGAGTGCCTAATCCCCACTGATGGCTAACTAACACCAAATTACACTAGCGGTCAATAGATAATATATATATAAGTGGCCATCCTGTATTGCACCACATCAACACATCCAGTTTGGGTACCATCATTGATGTCAACATTCATTACAAATGTATGAGCAAATAACCAAATAGACGCAGATGAGGGTTTTAGACAGATGTGACCAGGCCAATGTGGGCATTAATCAAATGTGACCAGACCAATGTGGGCTTTAGTCAAATGTGACCAGACCAATGTGGGCTTTAGTCAAATGTGACCAGACCAATGTGGGCTTTAGTCAAATGTGACCAGACCAATGTGGGCTTTAGTCAAATGTGACCAGACCAATGTGGGCTTTAATCAAATGTGACCAGACCAATGTGGGCTTTAGTCAAATGTGACCAGACCAATGTGGGCTTTAATCAAATGTGACCAGACCAATGTGGGCTTTAGTCAAATGTGTCCAGACCAATGTGGGCTTTAGTCAAATGTGACCAGACCAATGTAGGCTTTAGTCAAATGTGACCAGACCAATGTGGGCTTTAATCAAATGTGACCAGACCAATGTGGGCTTTAATCAAATGTGACCAGACCAATTTGGGCTTTAGTCAAATGTGACCAGACCAATGGACACAATAAAAGTACTTTACGATTGTTTGTTTCTTTGTAACAGTCCGGCAGCTTTGTTGAAGTGATCGTCACCTACAATGGCGCCGTCAGTGGTGTGCTCATTGACAGGGGAAACAGCGGAACCAGCTCAGGAACCACAGTGAACATTCCAGCCACCAATAACCTCGGAGGTAAGTTGCCATCTTACCGTCTTACTGGCTGAACGTGCTGAATGGAGCATTATACTTGTACGATAGGTCTGCTTTTGTTAACGTCTCATCAAACTGTAGGTAAGAGCGTAACACACGGTGTAGCCATGTAGCAATGTGCTGGTAGCCAAAACTCTTCAGCTTAGAGTCAGCACATGAAGGTGAACAGAAATTTGTTTTCCAAAAAAAAAAAGAACAAACAAAGTTGAGGATGTGGGAAATAACGGATAACATTGTTGATGAACAAACACGTATGTCAACACTATGAACAAACACGTATGTCAACGCTATGAACAATTACGTATGTCAACGCTAAGAACAATTACGTGTGTTAACGCTATGAACAATTACGTATTTCAACACTATTAACAATTCCCTTTTCAGCTTACCTGGCCGCCAACAAATGTGGTTTCCAGTGGGGCCGTGGTCTGTTTGGCTCCATCGACAGGGTAAGTCAAGGTCAAATCGTGCAAACATTGCGTACATAATTATGTTGTACACATGGTACGTAATAATATGCTACACGCGCTTACACTATAGCCTGTCTATGCAGAGCGGAGCAGTGATGTGTTCAATGTTTTTTGACCGTCTGGCTTCTAAACTATTATTTAAACTGTACGTAAATAAATCGTCAAGATGCTTTTCAATAACTCATCTTTTCATTACTAGTGAAGTAATTAACGGGAAAGAAAGTTTTTTTAAAAATCAATTACTTAAAGCGCCATTTCAACGTCACATTTTAACACCATATTTTAACGCCCCATTTTAAAACCCTATTTTTTACACTCCAAAGCATTTCTCAAAATACGATTCCTTCTAAATAACACACACAACCACGTGCTCTCTTTAGGTCTGACACAGTGCTTTTTAAAGAGAGAGCTATTAAAAACTTGAACTTGATTTATTAACAACAGCACGGTTAAAATGAAAGAAAATTATTTTTAAACGAAACAATTTAAAAAAAAAAAAAATTAAGATTATCTGACCTTAACTCTTCCCACAACATTTTCACACGCACTATTTCATTGTGTTCCAGGTTCGCATCTACGAGGGATGTGGTGACTTTGCCCGCGTCCGTGTTTAAGACGTTAGCCCACAGCTGCGAGGAGTATCTTAGGACCAGAAGAGGATTAGACATGAAAAAAAAAAATTGAAATAAAATTTCAAATAAAGAAATAGAACTGCAGCTTGGCACTTGTTATTTCGGTGTTTTATTCAAAGAATTCGGGTTCGTTGTCGTTGTCCAATTCTGAAGTGTTTGTAGGCTCAATGGTCAAGAAAAGGGTGATTGTTTAAAAAAAAAAAAAAAAAAAAAAAAAAAAAAAAAAAAATAAAAAAAAATTTTAAATAAAAAAAAATATCTTGCTGTTGGCTTTTTTTTTTTTGGTGTTTTTTTAAAAAAATTGGGGGTTGTTGTGTTTTGTCAATTCTGAAATTTTTGTAGGCCCAAAGGTAAAAAAAAAGGGGATTTTTTAAAAAAAAAAAAAAAAAAAAAAAAAAAAGAAACAAAATGTTAAGTTTAAAAAAAGAAAAAAAAAAAAAAAAAAAAAAAAAAAAAAAAAAAAAGAAACAAAATGTTAAGTTAAAATATTCGGTCAACGGTCAACACCACACAGTGGTCACACCAACACACCACAGTGTTACCCTCAACACGATGGTCACGTCACACCACTACAGTACACACTCCCCACACACAGCCCCATCACATGTGCGCCCATCTGCGCTTGGCAGTAGAGAAATAGTTTTATTGGGCCCCTGGGTGCGTTGACAGACAAAGGCAGGGGGGGTGGGGTTTAAAGAGAGGCAGACGATGGTTTGAAATTATGCATCAAGTTTACACTTGAAATAGTTCATTAACAAATGCGTGCACCGATCAGAAATAACAAACTGACAACATCTGTGTAGTTGGAATTGAAATGAAGATAGTGAAGTAAAATTTAACAAACATAATCCAACACTTTTTATGTTTAGATGACACTATGATGACTTAGTTAATAATAATTACACAGGTAAAAAAATCAACAACAGCTTTTCCTTTTCCCTTGAATTTTATGCCTGTATATAGTTTTATTTTGGGCGCTGAGTCCAAAGGTTGCATTCCCTTTTCTTTGTCAGCTCTAGATTTATTAAAGATTTAGGTGAAATTATAAAATTGTAGTCTACTCTATATACGAACTTTTGTGCAGAATCTAGATGTCACTAATACCTCTATAAATGAAATGGGAAATATATGCATTTAAATTAAGAACATTTTGTTTGCCTAAAGACATTTGTGGCAGCAGAAACTATAGCAGCAGAAACTAAGGCAGCAGTAACTATGGCAGCAGTAACTATGGCAGCAGTAACTATGGCAGCAGTAACTATGGCACCAGTAACTATGGCCGCAGTAACTATGGCCGCAGTAACTATGGCAGCAGTAACTATGGCACCAGTAACTATGGCAGCAGCAACTATGACAGTAGTATCTATGGCAGCAGCAACTATGACAGTAGTATCTATGGCAGCAGCAACTATGACGGTAGTATCTATGGCAGCAGTAACTATGACAACAGTAACGCGATGGTTCTGAGCTCAATAATATACGCTGATGAAAATTTGGTCTACTCACTGGCTGTCGATGCATTGTTCATGTTGATGTACTTGTTCATGTTGATGTACTTGTTCATTTTGATGTACTTGTTCATGTTGATGTACTTGTTCATGTTGATGTACTTGTTCATGTTGATGTACTTGTTCATGTTGATGTACTTGTTCATGTTGATGTACTTGTTCATGTTGATGTACTTTTTCATGTTGATGTACTTTTTTGGGGGGAACATTCAGCTCTGAATACGATGTGTTTTTTTAATCACTACTTTATCTGGTCTGACGTCACTGTTCTAGCATCTAAGAGACCCTGACAAGTAAGCTACAGGCAACTGTTGGGAGTGTCTTGGTTGAACCAACCTTGACCGCTGACACTTCTAAGCACTCTAATTTCAATTCAATATTCGCTCCTCCGCCATTCACGCTCAGTCAACGTAAAAACCAGAGTACTTACAAGTAACGAAACGAAAGTCCAGTGTGTAATTATCTGAACAGGGCGTGCCTTCGGAGTGCCAACATCTTTGCCGGTATTCAGATCTCGTCGCGGTCTCTATTTGATCTACTTTAATCTGTGCCTAGAGAACGTGGTTTTCAATGCAATAAAGGACTTTAACAAACAAATGTTTATATTTGAACAAACGCGTGTATTGTGTCGAATAATGGGTAATAGCAATAATCGGCCGTTGCAGACGCCTCGACTGAACTTGATCAAAGGGAGATACAATTTTTTTACGCTCATACGTTTATTAGACCCTGAAGATGTTTGACTTGGCTCGACCGCCATTAGAATCTTTGCACACTCAGTTCGGTAACTTCCGGAGTACTTCGGGGCTGACACTTTCAACTTTATTTGGAAAACATTTCATTCATTCAAAATTTAATGCTTCATGATTTTTTAATATTCATTTAATTGTAAAGTGTAGACGCTAATAGTTTAAAAAAATTGAATTTGGAATTCATTTAGCATCAAATGTGTTTGGAAAGGTAGGGACGAAATGTAAAGGATGGTCACTGGTGTAGTTCTGTTATGAAAGGTCAGACCAGTGGCGTAGCTAAAGGGGAGCCAGGGGTTGTGACCGCACCTGGTGACACTATCTCAGGATTGACGCCAAACTGAAAAAAAAATTATATATTTACAGAGCTCGCACTTCTCGGTCTAACTGAATTTCATTAAAAAAAATAACCCATCACATGTAAATTTTCCACACATGTAACCAATCCAAATGCGGGCTTTATTAAAAGTTCAAGGGTGATGTCTCATAAATGGGATGACCCTATAAATAGGTCAGCAAAACACCGTTTTGACACCAGGATTGAAGTCTTCGGTAACTTTCACAAGTGACAGGAAGTTTTATATATCGAAATTCTGAGAAATAAAGCTTTCCATTGCTACCAAAATGATACGATGTGGTCAGGTGATTTTCAGTACAAGAATCGAATCGGTAAAAATTAAACACATTAAAAATTACACTTAACCCAATTATAGAGTTAACAAAATAATATTTGACACAATTTTCTAATGTCTTTATTCAAATGTAAAAAATGGTTTCTGAATCAAAATATATAAAAACCAAGAAATAATCAAAACTAAATATTTTCGCCTATTTGCCACCGCCCCTTTAACATTTGCGCACTTGTGTCATACAGCACAAGGTCTTTTACATGCTGTCTGTGATTTCACGTTTATCTGCTACCTTTACCTTTTGCCTGATCTACTTGAGGAAGTTAAACTTACACAGCAGTATCTGCAGACTAAAGGCTTTACTCTTGCCAAAGTGGTGACCAACCTAGAGGCCTTAAGATTGTTTCTACCCGATTAGAGCTGTAACTTGGTGAAAAATGCTATGGAAATGGCACTATTAAAGAAGACTAATTAAATTAGACTAATATGGAATTTCTGTAGAATGAAGATTAAGGTTTAAGAAAAGAATGACAGGACGACAATTAATAGATGCTGGACTCTCCCCCAGAGAGGAGAAAACAGTATGGAGATGCTGGAGTGTATTGATCGCTTTCATTCTGAACTCCAGATCAAATCATCAGTGATCAAGGAAGTAGCAGATATGTCTGGAGATGTTCAACCCAAGAGTCTGCTACCAGCAAGTGAAGAAGAGTTATTGGTGTGCGTTCCAAAATTGACCTCTTTGTATGTTGATTTATAAAAGATAAACTTTTAAAAGAAATACCAAGACTTAGAAGACACATAAAGGAACCTGATATTGAATTTCACAAATTCATGGAATGATCAGTATTTGATGTTTTTAAATTCATAGCTGAATGAGACTTCCTAGAGTCTCTTCCAATACTCTCGCTAAGCCTTCAATTTCAATTGTTTCTTACTATCTGTGTGTCTGTGACTTCAATTGAGCGGAGCTTTTCAAGATAAAGCCTCATCACGACCATATTTACAATCCACCATGGGATAGTCCTGGCTTTTTGATCTGGTTCTAATATCAATTAAGAGTGATACGGTGAAGGATATTGATTTTGATCAAGTGATTGACAGGTTTGCAGCTTTGAAGAGCAGGATGGGAAAATTTTAAATAAAGTATATTTAACATAAAAATAACTATAACTTGACGTTGTTACAGTTCTTAAATACACGTACCTTTGTTTTTGTTCTTGTCATTGTTATTCTCTGGAAATATTTTAACAAGAAGAAATCTATCGGGGAAGTCAGAAAGGGGGGGGGGGGGTGATACCATGGGTTTACCGAACCGGGGGCCACCATGAGTTTTTCGAACGGGATGACCCCATGAGTTTACCGTACCGGATGACACCATGAGTTTACTTTAAAAAAAAAAAAATTAAGGGGGAAGCAAGAAGGGGGGGGGGGGGGTGATACCATGAGTTTACCGTACCGGGTGACACCATGAGTTTATCGAACCGGGTGACCCCATGAGTTTACCGTACCGGATGACACCATGAGTTTACCGTACCGGGTGACACCATGAGTTTATCGTACCGGGTGTCACCATGAGTTTATCGTACCGGGTGACACCATGAGTTTACCGTACCGGGTGACACCATGAGTTTATCGTACCGGGTGACACCATGAGTTTATCGTACCGGGTGACACCATGAGTTTATCGTACCGGGTTACACCATGAGTTTACCGTATAGGGTGTCACCACCCTAGCTACGCCACTCGGTCAGACCACTTTTTTTATGGTTTCATATACATTTTAAAAAATCAACACTGCCACCATAATGGACGGTAAATCAACACTGCCACCATAATGGACGGTAAATCAACACTGCCACCATAATGGAAGGTAAATCAACACTGCCACCATAATGGATGGTAAATCAACACTGCCACCATAATGGACGGTAAATCAACACTGCCACCATAATGGACGGTAAATCAACACTGCCACCATAATGGACGGTAAATCAACACTGCCACCATAATGGAAGGTAAATCAAAACTGCCACCATAATGGACGGTAAATCAACGCTGCCACCATAATGGACGGTAAATCAACACTGCCACCATAATGGAAGGTAAATCAAAACTGCCACCATAATGGACGGTAAATCAACACTGCCACCATAATGGACGGTAAATCAACACTGCCACCATAATGGACGGTAAATCA